TCTTAAAACAACAACAGAATCATACATCATGGGGGCATATGAACTCAGATAATTCAGTATTTGAGTTGATATGGTTACAAAAATAGTTTGTGGCAACTGGACCAAAACTTCACAAACTTGTTGTAGTTACAGTTAGTGTAAGCTATCGCTTTAGTTATAAAGTAGTACGGTAATTTGCCAACTCTCTCTGGATCAACTCAAGAGACAATTTTTTCTTTTAAAGATAAAATTTGAATATAGTATCCTTCATGACAAGGCATATAGCATTTAATGGATCATTTCCTTTTAAATGGAAAGCCCAGTAAAACATTTTCTTTGGTGAAAATGATATGAATTTCCGCCTTGTAATTTATCCATCTTTCAAGTTCGGCCCAGAGAGAGTTAGCGTTTTCACAATTCCATAGTACATGAGAAAGGTCAGCAATAACTTTATCACAACTTGTACACATTGAAGGGAGAATCTTTATATCCCACTTTAAATAGGTATTTACCAACTGGAAGTATTTGATTAATGATTCTGTACTGAAGCCAACGCAATTGCACACTATCAGTACATCGGAAGGGTATTTCATTTATATTTTTCCATTCATAATCTGTATAATATTTTATATCATTTTCCCATTGCTGATTGGCTGATGCCCTCTGACATTTTGAACTCAATAGCACATCATAGTAGTATTTTGAACCCTTTGGACTCTTCATAAGTACATGAATGTTAAATGGTAAAATTGGGGCTACCAATGGTGTAACATCATAAGTTTCTAAAGATTTTAAATAAACATTTATAGCATTTCTTACCCCATAAAAGGTTAAACGATTACACGAAACATTGTATCTATTCTCAAATTCTAAGTATGAAAGAAGTCGGCCCTCATGATCTACCAAATCATTGATATATTTTACTCCCGCATCATCCCACTTGTTAATAAATATATATTTCCCATCAATCTGCACATTGTCATTGTACCATATATACTGGGAATAAGCATCCTTTCGTGTTTTCTTATGATTTTCTATATATCAGCCCCAAGACGACACTACATCTCGCCAAAAAGGATTTCTGATAGTTTTGACGATGTGGTCTCTTATGTATTTTGCATCCATTTGAAAAATATCAGATGGGATAATATTAGCCTCAAATATAAATGATTTAAGGGTTGTATTTGATAGATGTATGTGATGAAGCCAAGAAATATTTTGAGATGCAATAATATCTTTTACTAGGGGTACTTTAAAACCACCGTTAGGAATATTGTTCATCACCCTTTCCCTTTTAATTTTATCCGGTTTTTCATTCCAAATAAATCTGAAGCACTTTGCTTGAAATTTCTTTATAATATCTACGGATGGAGCAGGAACAGTAGAAAACAAATGATTAAGTTTTGGTAACAATAATGATTTCAATATTGTATTTCGTCCAAAGTATTCTACTTTTCCATAATTGCATTGAATTTTTTATTTCTTTGAATTTATCGTTATAATTAATATCTACCATATTTTCAAGATCATATGCTTCCGGATGCGCACGCACAGTGACAAGACGTGCTCGTAGAGACGCTCCGGCCAGAGCCGCTGTCACGAGATTTTATCCACATGAATCCTTGAAGATTTTGAAGTCGAAAGGCATTAAATGTCACCAATGGAATCAACAACATTAATCTAAAGACGCAGGGAAAGGATTTATGAGAATAACCCCACATTACATCTTAAACAGTGAGTACAGCTTTAAAAATAACGCCATGCCTCCGAAAATGCGTTCCGAAGAAAATTTTGAAGACATTGTAGTGAAATCCGAAAAAAGACTGTCTCAGTTAATTGTAGAACTTCGTAATGACCTAGAAATTATGAAAACTGATATTAAAAGTGAAATCCAGAAAATGTCCTCACGTGTGTACGGTATCGAAAACACGGTATCAATCCAACAGGATGAGGTGAATGATTTACGTCAGGAAGTCGCACTGGGTCACTTACACATAGAAAGTCAAGACAGTAACAAGACCACGCCAGGATAAGTGAAAATGCAGGTCATCGTGAAACTGATTTCACCTTTCTGTGTATAGTAGCCTAAATTTATTATCAACAATATCAATAGTAATAACCTTTAAAATATGCCAGATAAATACGGATTGGAACAACTCTTTTTTGTGACTCAGCAGTATGTTGACACAGTCCCAAACAGGTAATTTGTGTTTTTCTTGAACTGTAAATATAGTAAAAGTAAACATTGCAGATACATTGTAAGTTCGTCAGTATGTCACTGCACTGTCTACAGTATAGTACTCTAGTTTACACTGAACAAGTTATTTTGTGTTCATAAAGAATATAATTTCAATTCTGATTCCTTGGACGTTATATAAACACATACTGGCACTACTGAAATATCTGTTCCTTGGCTGTCGGTATGTGAGTGACCATTGAATGACATTGAGACTGGGAACAACTGATTAATTGTGTGGCACACATCGGATCTTTGTTGCAATTTCGCATGTGTTTGTGAATACTGGATTGTTGATGTTAGACTTGCTATCGGTGGGTGGATTTGATTTTGTCTTCAGGGATTCTTGATGTTATCTGAAACAAAATCCATTATCGTTCTATTTGTCCCGTGTATGTGAACATTACATTCCATTGATTGCATTACGTAAAAGCAGGTAAAATCCGTGCAGGGCGGAAAAAAACCAGACCCTTATTACGTTTGTGCATACGTGCATGTGTTAATCATTGCCCTATTTTCTATTCTTAATTGTATTACAGAACTGCCAAACTACTTCCTTTTGCTTCTGTTCACTTATTACATTTCCTTTGTTTCACATGGAGTTTAACCATACCATATCAAGAAACCTTTAAGTGTATATGTTTTCTTCTTATCTTTTGTCTCAATTTGGTGTAACACACTTCAACACTTTAAGTTATGTAGGAGCGATAAGACCTGTACAAGGTAAAAAAACAATTGCCCTCGTTATATTTGTATACTGGCATCAGCGGCTGTCATTCTTGTTGTTTAATGACAATGGAACATTGATTGCTTCCTTTTCCCTTCCCCCTCATGAAAGATATGGTTTGGTTTTCTTTATCATTACATTTACCTCAGTTTAGTGTATGACGTTCCATAAATTATGCATGGACAGAAAAAATAATCCTTGCAGTTGGACGAAACTCTATATATAGACATTTTTTTTCTAAATGCGGTGATAAGGGATTTCATAAAGGCATGTAAAAGATGTCGAATTTAAATTATGTATTTATACAAAGAGAAATTCACTCTTGTATACTTTGCGGGTATGGGTTGGTGTACTAGTATTTGAAATTAAGGCTTCTTATGAGTCCATCTTATTCTTGGTTTTTCTTTGTTTCTTCAGTTGTTATAAAAGAACAGAAAGGCTTTATTAAAGGGAGATATATGGGAGAGATTAACAGGCAATTGTATGACGTTATGGAATATGTCGATACTTATCAAATGCCTGGCATGTTAATGCTTATCGACTTCGAAAAAGCTTTTGATTCTTTGGATTGGGGATTTATTCAAGACGTGTTAGCATTTTTTAAGTTTGGTCCTTCAATACGTAAATGGATAAGATTATTGTATGAAAACTCAGAGTCATGTCTATTGGTTAATGGTTTTGCAAGTTCATTCTTCAAGTTAAGTCGAGGCTGTTGCCAAGGCGACCCAATTTCCCCATAAATTTTTATCATATGTACTGAGATATTAACCAGATTGATTAAGAATAACAAATTTATCTAAGGATTAAAGATTGGTTCTATTGATCATTTATTAGCTCAGTTTGCAGACGATACAACTTTAATATTAGATGGTACAGAAAGATGTTTACAAGCTGTTTTTAATACATTGACTCTCTTTTTTTTCGTGCTTACGGGTAAATATAGCGAAAACTAAGTTGATATGGACTGGTTAAAAAAACCGTAGTCGGATAAAACTACTCCCCAAAATGAAAATGGATTGGACCGATAACTTTAAGTTATTGGGCATTAAATTTGATACTGATCTTGAAAATATGGTTATAAATGTACTGTACATTAGTTAATATGAATTTTGCTGTTTGTATTGTTTTGATGGCTGAGATGCTGAAATCAAGGTGAACAAATTTCTGGTCATATTACATAATAAAGGATATTATGTATGTGAAGGAGTTTCTGTATACAATATTTTGGCCTTGATTTAAGTCATAATCTTCGGTAGTTTCTGGAAGGGGTCAGAAACGGGAGTTTAATTGCATGATAAATACACATTTTTCTTAAATATATACTTTGCTAGTATATTTCTTATCAGAAACCACATGCTTTGTTAACATTATTCCAGCTTTTTAAGTATTTTATTGCTTGCTTGTAATGTATTGCTGCTATGTTTGCAATTCTTTAGATTTGTCAAAATGGTCATGTTTTGCAGTATTTCATTCATAAAAGTAAATCTGAAGCGAGACAGTCAGACCTTGAATCATCACAATGACACGTGAAGTCCACATGCTCGTAGTACCATTACGACTGTGTTCTTCTAGTCAGTATTTTTTGTAAGTGGATTGCTCTTTATTCACCAAGATTATTGTTATTTATAGAAGAATTTTACATGACAAGTACGGGTTGAAACACACAGAGCTAGCCTATGGTTGGGACGATAGACGAGAGTTACTACCTGTCATGGTCAAAATGTTTATTTCTATTTTCTATAAATTATGATAGCTTAATTGGTTAAGGAGGTATGAAATCTGGTTTCCTCAATTTCCACAAATTATGTATTGCATATTGTTTCGTTATGCGTTTTGTTGTATCCGAGATGATGCATAACTTAAGGATCACAGGAGGCGTCTGCTTGAAGTTGGCATTGACATATTTGGGGACGTGATGCACAAGATGAATATTACATATCGTAACATCTCCCTTTTTTTAGAAAATAATTAAAGTCAATGAGATAATAGTGAGTGTGGCACTGTTCACATTAAAGTCACTGTTCATATTAAAGTCACTGTTGAAATAAAGAAACATGTTCACACTTTCATGTTAAAGTCTTTCAAGTGTGCAGGGGGTCTTGAAACTCTACCACTTCTCGTGATTCTCGGTGATGAGTTGTTGTTACTTGTTGTTGTTGTCACCGATGGCTGTGGCTGTGACTGTTTAACTTTCTTGGGAGACGGTTGTTTCAGTGGCTGGTCTGTACCTGGCTCTGGTGCTTGTATAATTGCTGGTGCTTGAGCATGTTGAGATGCTGGTTCTGGTTCATGAGGTGTACATGGTACTGGTCTCAAGTGACGTCTATTTCTCCTTAGTGTTTGACCATCATCAAGGTTAACTTCATATGATCTGATGTTAACTTGTTTGTTTACTGTGCCTTTTTTCCATTCATGTTCACCTAGTCTGAGTGGTTGAATGCGCACATGGTCGCCTTCATACAATGGCAACAGATCTTTTGCATGTCTGTTGAAATACTTCACTTGACTCTCTACTTTCTTCCTCTTTTCAGATTTGACTGTTGGACAAACACCTGGTTGGAGTAACTGTTTGGTTGTAGGTAGTAGAGTCTTGGTGCGGCGATTGAACAGGCGCTGTGCAGGGGATGTAGACATTCCTTCATTTGGTGTGTTGCGGATGTCTAACAAGGCTAGATAAGGGTCAGAACCTGCTTTTGAGCATTTCTTGATTAGTCTCTTGGCTGACTTTACTGCAGACTCGACTTTACCATTCGACTGTGGGAAGGCTGGTGAGCTTGTTATGTGAGTAAACTCATACTTGTTGGCGAGATCAGCAAAGTCCTGAGAATTGAACCCTGAACCATTGTCTGAGATTATGGTATCCGGTATTCCGTGTCTAGCCAAATGACTTTTGAATTTCTGGATCACTTGTTTTCCTGTCTTGTCAGTGATCATATCTACTTCAAAGAAGTCACTGAAGTAGTCAACTAGGATTACATAGTCTTTCTGATTACAGTTGAACAAATCAATACCTAGCTTTGACCAGGGTCTGTCTGGAGTGTCATAAGGAATTAGAGGTTCCTTGGCTTGCTTGGAATCATAGATCTGGCACACTTCACATTTGGATATGAAGTCTTTGATTTCAGCATTCATGTTAGGCCAATAAACACATTCACGGGCCCTTCGCCTGGTTGATTCTATGCCAGTGTGAGCATTATGTAGACGTTTGAGAATGTCAGATCGTAATGCTATTGGAACAACACATCTTTTTCCATGAAACAGAATTCCATCTTGAACACTAAGTTCATCCCTCACATGGAAATATGGTGTTGCAAGATTAGGTATGTCACTCTTTGTTTCGGGCCATCCTACTTGTACCATCTTATCTACAACCTGGAGGGTTTCATCCAGAGCGGTTGCACGTTGGATTTCAGTGAGTCTTTCATTAGACACAGGCAGGTAGTCTAACATGTGGATTTGTTCTGTTTCCATCTCCACATCCACAGCTTCTTCTGTCTCTGTCATGTATGCGCGAGACAGGGTGTCGGCAAGATACATTTCCTTGCCTTTCTTGTATGTGATGGTATAGTCATACTTCTGCAAGGCGAGAAGCATGCGTTGAAGACGCTTTGGAGCTGTGACCAGAGGTTTTTTTGTGTATAGTCTCTAAGGGCTTATGGTCACTTTCGACTTGTACTTTGCGTCCATAGAGATACTGGTGGAATCTAGTGAATCCGAACAGGATGCTCAGGAGCTCTTTCTCCATTTGAGCATAGTTTCTTTCTGTGGGAGTAAGAGCTCTGCTAGCGTATGCTACTGGTTGTCCACCTTGAAGTAGAGTAGCTCCAAGTCCTGTTTCTGATGCGTCACTTTGAAGAGAGACTTCTTCATGACTGTTGAAGTACTTGAGAACAGGCGCTTGAGTGACAGCTCGCTTGATAGAGTCGAAAGCATCATCATGTTCGTGTGTCCAATTCCAAAGGATTCCTTTCTTTGTCAGTTGTCGTATGGGTTCACACATATCTTACAAGTCTCTGAGGAAATTGGATAGATATGTAACCATCCCGATCACACATTGGACACCTTGAACATCTGTAGGTGTAGGCATTTGAAGGATTGCTTTCACTGTTCTAGGGTCAGGTTTGAGTCCATGATCTGTTAGAAGATGACCAATGTAAGAGACTTCTGACCTTTTCAGATCAAGTTTGTCTGAGTTGAGTCTAATACCTTTCTCTCGGCATCGTAGCATGAATTGCACAAACCGTTTGTCATGGTTTGCTATTCCTTCTTCCTTGGCAGAGCCTTTACCAATGATCAATATATCATCTGCTATCCTGAATACTCCAGGCAGATCTTGGAGAAGCTGATCGATTCTCTGCTGGAATATCTCTGGTGCAGGGGAAACACCAAAAGGAAGTCTGAGCCACCGATAGCGTCCAAATGGCATTCCAAAGGTTGTGAGATAACTAGAGTCCTCATCAAGTACGATATGCCAGAAACCATCTTTCAAGTCACATTTAGAGAACACCTTGGCTTCTGCAATATCTGGCAGTATATCTTCCATTACAGGCAATGGATAGTGACATCTTTTGAGAGCTTTATTGAGGGGTTTAGGATCTATGCATAGGCGTAGACGTCCTGAGGGCTTCTTAGCGATCAAGAGTCTAGAGACCCAGTCTGTAGGTGTAGAGGTTCGAGTTCTGTCTTGAGGTCTTGCTTGAGAGCATGTGGAATTCTCCTGAGTCGCTGTTTGACAGGCGTTATACTTGGATCAATTTCTAGCTTTTGAGTTCCTTCAAAAGTTCCAAGTTCATCGCTAAAGATGTCTGGGTAAGTCTTCAGTATGTCCTCTTTTGTAAGACCAGTTGAGGATGTGACTTTCTCAGATGGAGGTTTCTCTTCAGAAACTTCAAGAATATTTTCATGGAGCACTTTGATAAAGTTCATTTGTTGAGCAGAACGGGATCCAATCAGTGGTGTTCTGTCCTCAGCAATCACAACAAACTTGCCATGATACTTTTTAGAGTTCTTGGGATTGTGTAAATGGAGATTAGCAGTTCCCATTGTAGTAAGCTTGGACCCATTGTACATCTTCAGGTTAACCGACGTATCCTGCATGTCATTATCCTCTGGGAGATACTTTTCAGAGATAACATTACAAGTAGCCCTGCAATCCACCTGAAATCGTACTGGTTGAGAGTTCACTTCAAGTGTTGTGAAGATTTTAGTAGGGTATTGTCCTACAACACAGTTGACAGATTCTTCACAGGTATCTATAGTCATCAGTTCCTCTGTAGGATCAATATCAGATTCATCTGAATCATCATCGACTCTGTGTACTCGGGAAGAATGTTTCTTCTTACTCTTGCACATGGAGGCATAGTGTGAAAATCTACCACAGTGACTGCATTTGACACCATATGCTGGGTATTGCTCTCGTTGAGGTGGGTGACGTTTACCACAATACTTACAGTTACACATGAGAGTTTTCTGTTGTGAGTCATTTACAGGCTTACTATGTTTACTTTTTTCTGGGGGTTGACGTTTGGATGGAGTTTTAGATTTCTTGCGAACAGCATGGATATCCTCTTGGGCACTTGACATTGCTTTTACTTGAGCCATGGTTGATTCAGTTTCTCTGCATATATCTATACATCTCTTCAAAGTCAGCTTAGGTTCTTGCCATAGTTTTCTACGTGTTGCATTATCTCTCAGACCACACACAATTTGGTCTCTGATGAGTTCATCACGTAACATTTTGAAATCACAAAATGCAGCCAATGTTCTGAGAGTGTTTGTGTAGGTATCTACAGATTCACCTTCCATTTGTGATCTTTGGTTGAAGATGTATCTTTCATATATGACGTTAGTTTCACCTAGACAGCGCCTTTCCATGAGAGTTAACACTGTATCCATGTTCTATTTGTCCTCCTCAGACTCATAAGGTAAGCCATTAAAGATATCAAGAGCTTCTGGACCTATGTAGGTTATGAACGAAGCAAGTCTGTATTTATGGTCATTTGCATCAATTCTGGCCATAACTTCAAAAGAGTCCCAGATTTGTCTCCATCTTTTCCAGTTTTGTGCAAGATTTCCCTTTAATTCAAGTCTTGGAGGAGGGGGAATATTGACTTGAAATGTAGCTTGAGTAACAGGTTGTGCTTGCTCTTCAGCCATAGTGATGATAAAAGTTGTCAGAAAAACTTCCTAAAAGTTCATAAAACTGCTTCAAAATTACTTATTTGCTGTTTAAAAGTTCAAATTGCCATAAACAATGAAAATTCAAATAATGTCCCTTTTAGGCTTCCATAGAAAAATTTTCACCATCAGCACTTCAGTAGATTTCTTGCGAAATTGAATTATGGCACCACATAGACTTCCATACTTTTTAAATTTTGAGATATGGAGTTCATTGTCTTGCCCCCTACGAGGCAATATTTTACGGACGCTTCTCTTTCTATCTAAGTCAATAAGAGTTATCTTTTCTTACCTTTTTTTTCAAACTTCCGGAAAAAGCACGTGTTTCAAATCAGTGGTTTCAGGTCTTATCACCCTTACTCAAGTGCTGACATGTACAGGTTTTTTACCCCTTTTGTACTACGGGTTTATGATGATTAAAGAAACAATACAAGCATCTTTTCGAAGTTGTTATAGTAAAAAACCTTCATCGCCGCTCTCGTATATGAGGCACAGCGCTCCGATGACCACGAGGCGTACGATCCATTGATACATTATTCTTCCAAGAATTGTGCGTGAGTATTACACTATGGAATCACGTAAAGGATCTAGACGTTTAACGGAGCTAGGTTACGAACTATACCAAGAAAACGTGCAAAATTATGTCAACAAACTTTCCAAACTAGCAAGGCAAACAGAGAGTGCCTGTTCACACTCGACACATGATGATTTGGGACAATTAACCAGTGTGCGTGCAAATATTGACTGTCAATACGGGAAGTATGAGGAAACATATTTGGAATTCTTTGCATATTTACAACGAACTGGCACTGAAGAAAGTTCACAAGTACAGGCTGCACATCAAAACATTGCAGATTCACTCTTGAATAAGGTGCAGATGGCACTGAAGGACATTAATACTAGAATTACTAGTTTGACAAACACTGACAGGATAGAATCACCTTCTGTGCGAAGCAAAAGCCTTCATTCAAGTGGAAGTTCTATTCTCATGAGACAAAAAGCAAAGGCTGAAGCGGCCAAGATTCGACTGAAATTCGCTAAACAGGAAGCAAAGATGGAGAAACAGCGAGCTGAACTGGAAGTGAATCTGAAACTTCTTACTTCACAGCGTGAAGTACATGAAGCCGAGGCAGAATTACAAGCTATGCAGGGAGCCTTGGGGGTTGACAAGAAATCAAGGCGAGACGACCGTTCTTCCCAGACATCGGCGAAGCTCGAAGAAATTCAGAAATTTGTGGAAACCAACAAACCTTTTATGAGTTTGAAACTAGGATACTTGACCAGGTTGAAACTGTGTCCAAGAACCAAGACATACCCGTAAGTACGAGTACACCTCACAAAGCCGGGCAGAGTAATCGCAACACAGTTCATGACCTCAAGTCCTTCCATAACCATGGTGACAACTCCCATACTCAACCAAGGCAAGTACATGCACCAGAGGCCTCGACAATTCAACGTGGTACTGTTCCACCAAATAGTATGCTCAACCCTGCAGCTGAACCTTATGTCCCAGACATGACAGCTCCCCCTGCATTGGGACATGTGACAAACCAACTGGGTTTGTGTTCAGAACTCTCCAAATATTTGATGAGGAAAGACCTCCTCCTCTCTCGGCTGAGTAAATTCAACGATAAGCCGGAGTATTTTGCTGTGTGGCAGAATAGCTTTACACAAATTATGTACGAACTAAATGTGTCTCCGCAGGAGGAAATCGACTTGCTGGTCAGGTGGCTTGGCCCGGAGTCCAGCAGACAAGCCGCTAGTATTCGTGCTGCTAATGCTCATAATTCACTTCGTGGCCTTCAGAAGATCTGGGAAAGACTGGGGGACAGATATGCCAGTCCCGAGCTTGTGGAGTCTGCACTCAAGAAAAAATTGTCTAATTTCCCTAAACTTTCCAACAAAGATCATGATAAACTCTATGACCTGTCAGACATTGTGTCTGAAATTGAGTCTGTGAAGGACAATCAGAGGTACTCAGCCCTTCTGGCATACTATGACTCTTCAGCGGGCGTGACTCCGATTGTGAACAGGCTTCCCTACACTCTTCAAGAGAAATGGACAAATGAAGCAGTCAACTACAAGGAACGGTATCATGTTGCTTATCCTCCCTTTTCTGTGTTCTCAGAATTCATAAGCAGACAGGCTAGAATACGAAATGATCCAAGCTTTCTTTATGACTCACAGTCAGCGCCAAATTCCACAAAGAAATTTCATCCCTTGAATATCAACCCAAACTTCAAACTGTTGTCAAAGAAAACTGACATCGGAGAGAAAGACAATGTTACGGAACGAGTTAGACTCTGTCCCTACCACGATAAATCGGAGAGACATACTCTTAATTATTGTAAGGGGTTCCGACGTCTGTCTCTGAGTGAGAGAAAGGACTTTCTTGGTAAGCATAGAATATGCTTCAAGTGTTGTGAATCTACTCAGCACACTGCCCGTGAATGCAAGTGTAGCATTCAGTGTTTCTTTTGTGGGAGTGTTCAGCATGCTACCGCCATGCACAGTAACAATGAGGGAGAAACTTCCGCTAAAGTTGCAGACAGCAGGACTTCGCTGAGGAAGCATGAAGGGGAGAGAAACGTTACCACTCTGTCGGGATCACATCATGAAGAGAAGCCAATAACGATGTCAGCTTGCACACAGATATGTGATAATTTGGTTGGCGGCAAGTCATGTGCCAAGACTCTGCTAGTCAAGGTATTTCCAAAAGGATGTCCAGAACAGTACTTATTCTCATATGCTGTTATCGATGATCAGAGCAACCGGTCACTTGCGAAAAGTGAGTTCTTTGATCATTTTCATGAAGATGGAGATGAAGTTGAATACACACTCGCATCTTGTGCTGGTTGTGTGACAATGTCTGGCCGACGAGCATCAGGATATGTCATTCAAGCCTTAGACGGGTCCTTGTCATTACATTTACCTACCTTGATAGAGTGTAATGAGATTCCAAATGTGCGAGAGGAGATCCCTACTCCAGAAACAGCTATTCATCATCCTCACTTAAAGGACATTGCTGAGTACATCCCACCTATTGATTCAGGTGCAGACATTCTGACCTGCTAGCAGCTCATCATGTACTTGATCAGCGCATTGGACTGCCTGATGCACCAAATGCCCAGAAGTTGCACCTTAGCTGGGCAATAATAGGGGAAGTCTGTCTTGGGCAGGTACACAAACCGGATGTGGTAATAGTTAACAAGACTCACATGCTTAGGGATGGTCGAACAACAATCATGGAGCCCTGTCCAAATAATTTTGAAGTCAAAGAGAGAAATGACTTTGGGGAGAGTGTCTTTCAGAAAACAAGACTTGACGAAACACAGACTTTGTCTATTGAAGACAAGCAATTCCTGAGGATTATGGATGCCGAATTCTCAAAGGATAGTGATGGCTGTTGGACTGCTCCACTACCATTTCGACAAGATCGTGCCAGGCTGCCATGCAACAAATTCCATGCAATTCATCGAGCAAAACTATTGGACTCCAGCATGCGCAAAGATCCAACAAAGCGAGAACATATGACAACATTCATGGCGAAAGTCATAGACAAGGGACATGCAGAAATAGCCCCTCCATTGGAAAAGGATCAAGAGTGTTGGTACTTGCCCTTGTTTGGGGTTTACAATGCCAAGAAACCAGGACAAATCAGGGGTGTATTTGATTCATCTGCGAAGTACAATGGCGTCTCTCTGAACAGTGTCCTAATGACTGGTCCTGACCTCACAAACAATCTGTTGGGAATCCTTCTCAGGTTCCGAACAGAATCCTTTGCAGTGACGGCAGATGTGGAGCAAATGTTTTACTGCTTCAAGGTGAAGCCATCTCATCGTGACTACCTCAGATTCTTCTGGTACAGAAATAATGATCCCAGCCAAGACTTGATTGAGTACAGAATGACTGCTCATGTGTTTGGGAATTCACCCTCTCCTGCAGTCGCTACCTATGGTCTCAGATGATCAGTGGAAAATGCTGACGTTGATGTGAAACGGTTTGTGGAGAATGACTTTTATGTTGATGACGGACTGCTGTCCGTCCCCACAGAGGAAAAAGCCATCGATCTGATTCAGAGAACCCAGAGTGCGCTCCAGCATGGGGGTAACATAAGACTACATAAGATAGCTTCCAACAGTCGAACTGTGCTAGCTGCGTTTGATGCGGAGGACCTCGCCAAGGACATCAAGGACTTGGACTTCAACACAACCACTCCTCCACCTCAAAGAAGCCTTGGCCTATCCTGGGATATTAACAAAGACACTTTCACCTAGACACAAGTCTGTGCCGAGAGGAAGCCCTTCACCAGGCGCGGGGTATTGTCTACCATAAACAGCCTCTACGACCCTGTGGGCTTTGCAGCACCAGTTGTCATCAAAGGAAAACTGTTGCTTAGGGAACTAATGTCAACAACCTCTGGT